ACACACACTTCAAGAAGGCGACGAAGCAAGACGCCTGGAATACTGTTTATGGGCCCAAGGGGAATATGTAAACAATATAAATTTCCAGAACAATTTATACTCGTGTGAGAAGACTATAAAAATATAAGTGAATCATAGAAAAATATAAAAGTAAAATTTGAGTATTAGCTTATATAAAATCAAAAATACTTATTTCCAGAACAATTTATACTCGTGTGAGTATAAAATATAAAAGTACAAATCAAATGACATTCATTTCAGACTTTGTCTTTTATCGAAGGATGGAAAGTTTTGATATAATTTTTATTTTATCTCGGCTAAGGAGCAGAATGGTGACTGAATAGAGAAGCAAAAATATGTACAGTGAAATCGTAGAATTACTCCAGAACATATCAATCCGAAAATAACCTTGAAAAAATATTTTTCAGCATGTAAACTAATGACACGGAATATGCAGCAAAATAGGAACCCGCCCAGACCTACCTTTCACAAAAAAACGTTCTTTAGTTAGATAATTGCAGAAGTTATTTTCACACCGAGTTGACAACAATAACAACAAAAATGGCGTCTGTTAAATTGGATCATCAGATCTGTGATTGGATATTGAAAACCAATACACTTGACAACTCCCCTCTAGAGACGATCAATTTTATTGGTCAACAGACACACGGCCAATTTAAATTCTTGCTTTTCGAATTGTTCTTTTTTTCTGCAAATATAAAGAGATCTTGGGACCGATTAGGCTTGATAAGTATAATACAGCGTGACTCACGGTCAATGGTAGGTTAGACGTTTCTGGAAAACGCAAAGCATGATTTTTCTGAAAATTTCACCTCTCACATTTCCTTACCTGTTCTATCGATCTAAAATATTTTCAGCANTGAACTGGACTCCTCATATAGATATATTGAGTAAGAGACTATCCAGTCTCTTATTTTTGCTTAGACAGCTCAGGTACTGCCTCAATTCGAGCATGTTAAAAAATGTTTATTTTGGATTATTTCATTCTGTGATAAGCTATGGTGCGATTCTGTGGGGTAATGCTGTTGATTCCTCAAAAATATTCAGGTTACAAAAACGCGCAATAAGACTATTAGCTGGGGCTAGGTATAGAGACCACTGTCAACCACTGTTCAAAACAATGAGGATTCTACCACTCCCTTGTGTGTATATATACCAAAATTTACTAGAAATCCATTCAGAAAGGCAGAATATACAAAAAGTTTCTGGCCTGCATCATTACACTACCCGGGCTGCTACGGCTGATGATTTAGTATTGCCACGTTACAGGTTGTCCAAATCTGAGAAAAATTCATTAGATTTTAAACTATATAATAAATTGCCCTGCGAATTTAGATCCATGAACGAGAAATTGTTCAAAATTAATGTAAAAAATTATCTTCTCGAACATTGTTTTTATTCTAGAGACGAGTTTATTCAGACAAAAATTCAATTTTGACGTGTATTACCCAATTTATGTGATTGTGATATATTTTATATTGTATACCTGAAGGCTTTTAGATAATGTTATTATATATTCATTCAATATGATATATTAATTGTGATTAACTTGCTATAAACCATATCATGTATGAGTTACATAGTTAAATAAATATCTATCTATCTATAATTGATATTATAGTTATTCATTCTAATTTTATTTGTTCTTTCATAGATTTCGAATCATATTTGACAATGGAAGTCCGAACTGGTAAAATTTACCATGAAACATTGTCAACCGTTTTCAAACATAAATCAATCATCTTTTCAAAATTTAAAGTACCAATTTCCACCTTAAACTATACACACGAATAATACCTACCTATTTATGATATGAGTGTTAAAAGTAAGGTTTTATTTTGTGAGTGAACAAAATGAACAAAATAAAACTTTTAACACATATTTCATACAAAGTTTTTTGTACAACTGTCCTGTTTTCATAATACAGGGCTATTCAAATGCGTTTCTGTACATGGGGATCTCGTAAACGATAAGAGATGGAGTGTCGTTCGAATTGTGGCAAAGTTGCTTATATTAGAGACCTATTCAATGATGTTAAAATGTTTAGGACTTCATATAGACTACAACCTCAGATTTATTCATCAAGTCAATACTCTCATTCAAAGGTCGTAAGGTACTCTGAAACATCTGTATTCAAACAGACACTAGCTTAGTAGGTCTCTCAAAATTACCCTTTCAGACGTACTGATTCTATCTATGTTTATTTATTGCGATGTCATCTATGACCCTTGTATCGATTCCATAACTTCTGCAAGAATTCAGAAAGTACAGAACGCCTGCATTAAACTAATATTCAGCTTGAATCACAGAGGTCATATGACCCCTTCAATCAATCAATTAAATTGGTTAAAAATGCAAAACAGAAGAGATTCGCATTTCGCCTGTTTCATTCACAAACTGATAAAAAAACAACAACCCACTTATTTGGTAAATAAACTCCTTCCCAGACATCAGATATATTCAAGAAACCTTAGATTCAACAATAATTTTGACAATCCGAATCATAACAGCACTATCTATGAACGATCCTTCACTTATCATGCTGTAACAATGAATAATTCGTTCAGCAAATCTTTGAAAAATGCATCACTACCGCTATTCAAAAGTAAACTTGAAACTGAATTGCTCAGTCAATAGTGATACAATCATAAACATTTGTATTTCATTTTACTATTGTCCTGAAATTGCCATTTATTTTTTTTGTAATGTTTCCTTTTTTCAAACGTGGTTGGGTGGAAGAATAGCGCTTTGCTAAACTCCGCCACGTAAAATAAAGACCTGTTATTATTAATTTTTTTACCGTAGTGTACGCTGGTCAGGCCCTATCCCCCGAAGCCCCGATACATTTGGGAGTGCGCGCCAGCATTATCAACCAACGACCACTCCCCACACTGTGGGGTAAGTGATCATTGGGTCCGAGAATCATGTGCCCTGAGCAAGCGCGGTGAGCCAAGAATGACAGCCTTCTGCATCTGTCCGGCTAAGATTTCTGCCTTAGTACGGCAGGCCGGAATAATTTTGAGATTCGAGAGTAGAGAGGGCATCATTCCACTAAGGACTCCAATAATCAGAACAACCATCTTGACACAGACAGAGAAAATCTCGATATTTTATCCGTTTCTCCTCTTTTCGGACGATATTCGTCTCACTAGGTGCTGAAAAATTCACTACAAATATCGTCTTGTTCTGGTGGTCGAGAAGGACTACATCAGGCTTATTAGCTTGTGTGAGAGCCAGGAATGAATAGTTCCAATAAATTCGGCCCTTCTCGTTCCCCACAACAGATTCAATATCCTCCGGAGCGTAGGGCAACACCGGTGTCTCGTCAATACCGAAAGAGTGCCGCAAATGGTAATATAGTAATATAGAGACCGCATATGCTGGACATGCTGATAGCAAGTGCATTAGGGTCTCGCGGCAGGCCCTGCACCTTGTGTCAGGTACCTCTATACCCATCAAGTGAGGTCATCTCTGCGGATTTTATATGAGCTTTTTGCTGAACGGGTTCCAACTCGGTGACAGAGTTGTGGTCACCTCGTTCAGTGTCGAAAACTATACCGAGTTCATCAGCTGCTCGAGCAGCTGCTCTTAAGAGAAATGCTCCAATTTCTGCTCTCTCATGGTCACGGACGATGCAGAGAAGGGGATGCGAACTCCTGACGACTTTACAGGCTGTATCCAGTACCATTCTGTCATGTAGACACTCCAAACTCAAAAGTCCACGACCTCCCTGTTGTCGGGGGAAGTACAACCGTGGAACGGACGATTTGGGATGCAAACTCCTATAGAGATGCATCATTTTTCGGGTCCTTACGTCGAGTTGATACAGCTCCTCCCGAGTCCACTTCACTACTCCAAACGAGTAGAGTAAGATTGGAACGGCAAGCATATTTGTTGCAGCTACTTTGTTCTTCCCCGACAGTTCCGATGACCAGATCTGTCGAAGTTTGTGCTGATACTTGCCGCGGAGAGAGTTTTTCACTGCTTTTACCTCTTGCGAGTGACGTTGTTCCACCCCGAGGTAAGTATACGTCTCTCCGGCTTCCAGATGGAGTAGGATGCTTCCATTTACGAGCTGCACATCCTCTCCGTAGTCCCCGCATCATCCTATTTTGAGAAGGACCATTGCACATTTGTCTATCCCGAATTTCATACCGATAGCATGCGTGTACTCTTCCACCACCCTCAAAAACTGATGGAGATCCTTCTCTCCAGAGGCATGCAGTTTAAGATCATTCATATAAAACGAATGGGTGACCTTGTGCCTCCGGTTTCCGGGGGTGCCACAGTTATACCCTCGAGTATTTCTGAGCGCAATGGATAATGGCAATAGCAGAACAGAAGCGGACCGAGGGAATCACCCTGAAATACACCCCTTCTGAAAGTGATCCACCCTGTTTGGACTCTTGCTTTACCAGATTTTATGGTGAAGCGAGTTTGCCAAAGTGGTATCAGTTGTTCAATGCATCTCACTATTTTGTCGGGTACCGCAAGGCATCTGAACAAATGCAAGATGAACTCAGCTCATCTTATATTATTATTATTATTATTATGTCTGATTTCAATGTTTCTGTTCTTCTTCCCAAGTAGTCGATTGCTGTCTATCAAAAAGTTATTTTCTGTTGTCTGCCACTTGGAGTGTGTTTATTAATGACTATTTGCTGTCTTGGAATTCTGGCTTATTGACTGACAACTGGTATTCAAAAGTTTAAAGTATTTTGACTTGATTGATTTCTCTACATCATGTTTGTCTTTGTTAAAAGTTTATAATATCGGAAAATAATCCACTAATCATTTTTCAGGTGCTACCTCTAGAAATACTTTTCAAACACTTGATAGAGAAGCTCCTCCCTCATATCAAGAAATTTACCAAAGAGATTCTCAGTTACCTAATACAGGGCTGGATGGTGCTCAATCACGTCAAGGATATCATCCTCAATCACTTGGGCATCCTAATTATGGCGTTGAAGCTCACAGGAGAGCTCATGAGCCTTTACCGGCACAAAGTGCAGCTCGGGGTCTTCCACAAATCGGTAATCCCTACGGTCCAGCATATCCTGCTGGTCCCTATAGTCCTCCACCTCCTGTCCATCCATATGGTCCTACTCCTGTTGGTGATCCCTACAGATACGGAATGGATTACAGACGTAAGTACAAGTAATCCTTGTAGGCTCATTTATAATCTAAGTACGGTCAATGTTTATTGCCAAAGCTTCAGTTTCACGATTTCACTTACGAGGGTGGTCTGAAAAGTTTCCGATCTCAACATGAAGATAGCAGCACTAGTTGCTGTCGCAAATCAAAGATGAGTTGGATTCTGTGTATGGGGACTCTGCACCATCTTTTACTACAGATAAATTTTGGGCAGCTGAATTCAAACGTGGCCGTAAGAGCTTGGGAGGCGATGATCGGGACATCCAGAAACTGCAACTACCGACGAAAACATAGACAAAGTTCACCAAATGGTCTAAAACGACCGCCGAATTGAATAAAGAGAGATAGCAGAGGTTATGGACATGTCCAAAGAATGTGTTTGTCACATATTAAATCAATATTAAGGCATGAGAAAGCTGTCCGGGCGTTGGGTGCCGCGTTTGCTCACGTTAGGGCGCTGGAGGCCTATAGGGGGCAGCCCATTTGGTTCAATTTTGCTTGGGTAAAATAATAAGGCTCTTTGAAACATCTCAATGAATACATTCAAAACAAACACTTCCCAAAGACCAGAATTACTTTTCTCTGTTAGATTAAAAGTTAATGACCTGGAAATTCTGCTAAATTGCTTTGCTTGTAACAAGCTTCTGGCCATCTCAACTATTGTTCTCTTATCTGCTCTGCCCTTCCAATTTGTTGTGGGGCATAAAGAAAAGAACACTGTAAGTTGATGTCATATACCATTTTCTTCTGAAAAGATTTCTTTGATTTCATCATCATTTTTCGTAGTCTTTATTTTATAACCCATTTGGTTTTTGAAATATCGGAGAAAAATATACATATTTTTAACAACATACACACAAATCAAGTCCACCAAGCTCGTTACTTTGAAGTACCATTTAGCAGAAACATTGTATCTCATAGTTCAGTAATGATCACAATCTTCTTTACAGCTTCTATTGTACCACCCCCAGAAGATCATCCAACCTATAATATCAACATTAAACTGGGAAAAAAAGCGGATGTTCCACAACCTCGGCCTTTATTCGATCCTTATCTGTCGACTCCTTACCATCCATCTCAAGGTTCCCATGGAGTACATGGTGCTCCGCCGGCCCCCTATCACTACAACAATCCTCCTTTTGACCCACACAGTAGCAGCGGCCAGCAGCATTTTCCAAAAAGAGAACCCCCGTCCACAAGTTCCAGAGGTAATGCTAGAGGTAGAGGTGGTAATAGAGGTAGAGGTAGTAATAGAGGTAAAGTTGAGAGCAGAGGTAAAGGCAAAGGCCGAGGGGGATCGAACAGAAAAAGTAATGAGAAAAAAAGTAGCAAAAACTCGGAGGGTAAAGGTAGCGATAGCGATTCTTCCGATTCTGAGGAATATGTTATGGTAGACTAACTGTATCTAATATTTTATTTCAAGACCTGCTAATCAAGACTTGTTGTGAGACACACATTCATTCAAAAATGATCATTTCAGAGGGTGTGTTTCTCATGTATCTTCACTTTTATGAAGCTCAAGAAGTTTTTGGAACTTCTGGTTGATTTCATTTGTTAGTTTTTTTTGGAAATCACGAGACAGTTCCTGAATATAATCTCCATTCGATGAACTTATGTCAATTCATAACTAATTTTTTTAACCGTCTTCATAAAATATTTTTTGGGTATGTGCAAAGCACTTATTAAAGGCATATTTCATCAATTATTATTTTTATCAGATGCCAAAGCTGGATGCTATGAGAGGCTGAAAGCTCTTGAAAGTTGTTGGCATGTATTGGACTTATTGAGTTTCAGTTTTGATTACAAAAGACCAAAGCCTTGGTTTTCAGGGAAATGAAATCGTATTCCCTCCTAAATGTGTACCTATTCCTCTACAGTCGTAAATAATTCGAAAATCTTGAAAAATGTTATAAAATAAAATGGTGGCCTTAATATTTTATCAACTTGAAATGGAGCACCATAGAAATTATAATTATTTTTCTCAGCTGAAAGCCATTTAAGTGCCTTTAATACTAAGCTAATTCAAAATAACTGTTTGTGTATTAATAAGATTGACAAAAATTTTAATATGATGTTTTACACTTTCTGACAGCTTTTTTTGTCTAAATTAACTGGGTGTGTGTTCCATTCACATTTACACTCTTTTTTTTTATCACACTCTATGTATTGATGTTGATACGAGTACCTTCGAGTGTCAGGCATGCGTGTGTGGTACCACGAAACGAGGAACTTACCGCCTCTCCGACAGTGTCTAAAAACCTGCCGGCGCAACAACATAGCTCAACTCACCAAGGTATGTCATGAAAGTACAATACAGTGATATTATTGCTAATTTATAAAGTCTCGGTAACCTTTTTATATACAGTGCCAATATTGAAAAACAATGCCAAAGAAATTCCATTCACAATTAAAACAGTTTTAGCTGGGCTTTCGAAAATATTTTATTATCTTTGTCAAGACTTTCTACAATTATAATATGGTAATGATATAAAACTATGAGATAGTGAATATGTACTCAAAAACATCAGTTATTGATAGCTCATGTTTTTATATATTTTATTGTTAATTCTGAATCAAGAATAAAAGTATGACGTTATCTGGGTTTGCAGCAATACGGAAGAAGTTTATTCTTATAACATGAGGTATTCCAATATTTCGATAAGTTTATTTATCATCATCAGGGAATAGTTTTAGTGAGGTTAGCCTTGTTCGAATTGATGTTTAATAAACAGCACATGTCAGCAGTGACGGCTGATGCATTGGAGAACAGGGGAGGCTAAGGTCATAAAGACTATATACACACAGAAAAGCCTGCCGGAGGCGCGAAAATTTTTTGGGGTACCGCACCTATTTAAAGCAAAATAAAGGAGGGATGGGGTAGGAAGGAAGGTTAAATCTGGTTTGTTTAAGTGAATCCACATCGGCGGTCATTCAAGTTCAATATAGTCCGCGAGGGTCCCGCATTTTGAAAGGTGTATTTTGTAATTTTGGATAGGAAGGAAAAAATAAATCAAATGAGCAACAAATGATACATTTTTTAAGAGTAGTAGTGTTACTGTAGAATACATTACTATTTATATGTTAATTTGGGTGTAGGTTTCTATTATTTTCACTCATTTGTTTTTCTTTCTATTTTTACCTTATATTATTTGTGAAATAAAGTACTTCTGACAATAAACTATTGGAATCCAAAATAATTGTATTTCATTTTGTACTGTACCTCAATATTTTAATATTTTCATTCCCCATAATTTATATTTAGGTAAAATTCATTTATACTTATTCTCAAACCTGATCCTGACGTTTGCTGGGTCCTGTGTTGATCGTTTTGCAATAATAGTATTATTATATAACGACCCACCATAGACCGAATAGGACTTTCTATAATATTTTATTACCTACATAATTTTTGGAGTCACTCAGGGCTTTTCATGATGAGCGTTAATTAGCCGTTTCTGACAAACTATTTAACGGATCTTTCATAATAAATATTTTATGGAGTTTTTAAATGAATTTTTTTTATTATTTGGATGAATGAGGGTTAGGTGAAACAGCGATAAATCTTTTCGTAATAAGCAAGTCGAGTACTGAGTTGCGACAATATCAAAAAAATTGCCGAATACGCAAAACACTTCCAACTGTTATTCCTTACATCAACAAACTAAACATGCTCAACAGCTGA